CAACCATAATGGAAGGAAGCGCAGAGTGGGTTGTCTGTCTCTTATACACATCTAGATGTGTATAAGAGACAGGTGTGTGTGTGTGATGTAACCAGGTACTGACCTGCAGAAAGGTGGCTCCTTGATGCAGGTATGGATGCGCTGAAGACGAAGCTGGAGCTATGGCGTCGCAGGTAAGTTGACAGGTAAGTCCCCTGGCCTTAAACCCACTGCAGCGTGCTGCAGCCCAAGCTTGAAGCCAATGTCTTCAACATGAAAAGACCAGCGCTGAAGTCTACCGCTACTGCGCCCAGCCCGTCGACTATGCTACTGTGACATGCTGAAACTCTACCTCCAACTCCTCGTGGCCACAAATGAGGCTGCCCCAGCTATACATAACGCTGGGCCACTGTGGTGTGGCCAGGACTGGCGTCCAACTCGAAAATGGAGAACTGCAGCCCAGTGCTGTGAACTGGTGCCCAGCTTAAAGCGAGAACTGTAACTGGCCTAAAGAACGGCCGCTGGACCTGTATCGGGTCGTCCTACGTGGTCGGATGCTTGGGAACTAAGAGGAAGGAACTGACTCCGGCCGAAAAAAGACTGCTGAGGCTCCAAAACAGAGAACTAACGAACCCCTACCCTCTGCCTAACCCCAAACCTACTACCGGGCCCGAAGGGCCCGTGTGGTGGATACAACATGCAGCGATTATGCGAGGGGTGATGATGATGGAGGGAGACGACATTCGTTCGGCCTTGGGATCTTTTTCTTCTTCTTATTTCTTTCTTCAGTCTTCGTGAGTCTTGCGTTATGAATTATAAGCTGGATCATAGCAATCATCATTTACGAACTTGTCAATGGTAGCCGGAAGACTCCACTCACCTGGATACCAGTGAGACCACATGCTGTGTCCAGCTCTCTCAACCAGCCGGCCTCTTCTTCAGCGACTTCTAGGCACTTCCTCCGCTCCTCTTCCTCTTTCTGTCTCTGTGACCAGAGCTGCTCTAGCACTCCCCTTTGTCCAGAATACGGGTTCTCCTCCTTTGTCACTCCATCCACCCTTAGCTGAACCTGGTCCATAACTTTGATGAAGTTCTCAAATGCCTCCATCCTGTCCTGCAATGACTGGATCTGTGCTCGGCCGGCGCTCAACCACTTCTCCCTCCAATCATCTGACGTTTGCTGTGTCTTATTCAGAAAGAAATGGCTTGTTGAAGTCTCGATGGTTACCTCATCGCAAATTGTCATGCTGCTTTCCAACACTGGCAGGTCTGATGATGATGGTGCCAGTTTCTCTTTGGATAACATCTGCAGAGGGTCATTGTCTCTTTCCTCCATTCGCTGAGACGAGGAGTTGGGGGCTGGAGAAGAACTGCCATCCAAAGGGAAGAACTCCTTTTGAAAGCGGGATAGCAGTTGGCTGGCTTTCTCAAGGAGGGTCTTCGCAACACCGAAGTGTTCATAGAATCTTTGCTCCTGGTCATGGAATGCATTGGGGATGCAGCATAAACAGGAATCAGTATCCATTTTATTCAAGTTCATCGCAATATAAGTGCACTGTAGGGTTGCATACCCTCCGACCGCCTACCCCGGCCGCCGACCATTTTGCAACCTACCGGTAGGGCCGACCGGTCGGCAGTCTGCCGACCAGTCAGTAAACAGCCATCCACTGATTTTTTTTTTAATCTGACTATGGGGCTGTCCTGCGCTTGCTGAGTACAGCCCAAATCCTCTGACAAACT